GGGCACATGTGTGGGTTGCAGGCCAGGTCCCAGTAGGGGACACACAAGAGGTAACCATACACTGACATGTCTCTCCCTCTCTCCTTCCCTTCCCTGCTAAAGAGAAAAAACAAAATAAAAAAATTGACACATTGCACACAAGCATACAATGAAATGTTACTATAATTGTTACCTGATAGTCTCGCAGACCAATCAATATGATATCTGAGGTATTTATCCAAACCTATAAAAGAGAATTTATTTTATATTATACCCAAAATAAACACAAGTAATAACCTGCAGTGTTAAACCATTCCTCCTACAAAAGATACCTACTATGCACCTAGAGTAGAAAAAATATATTAAGGTTAAAGAAAAATCACAGTATATACTATACTATACTATACTATACTATAGCATTCTGTATGTTTGTGGGTATGTGTGTATGAAGATAGGGAAAAATGTCTACTTACACACAGATATAGTATATTAGGGAAGCCTGTATTATTAGGTAAGTTTGTCTCAAATTTTTAAATTTAGGATATTAAAATTTGTAAATTTTATTTCATCTACTTAAGGAAAGGAAACTTGTAAAATAATAATAATTTGTTATGGAAATTATAGATTTTTAATCATAAAACAGTATAATATATTATTGGTCAAAACATAAAAATTAGCCATCTATACACACAGACACTCAGTTACCAATCTACATAAATTCAGGTACTAAAACTTCCATTAGCTTGGAAAAGAATTGATCAGAACATAAAAAACTCTACATCATAAAATCAGAGATAAACACTTAACCAACATGGTTAATGAAACGGCCTAACTGTGATGAACTAAGCATATTATCTAATGCAATAAAATGTCCATAATATGCACAGCTGTTTCCCTCAAAGCAAAATTTAATCAAGGAACATGCACTATATTCATTTAGTAGTCTATTTGGTCTCCTTTAATCTAAAAACAATTCTTAGGCTTTTATCCCTTATTTTAAGGTATAATCTGTATTTAAGAATCAACTTTCTTAAAGAATTGCTTTGTACATTGTATCTGTGTTTCCTCAATACCATGTTCAGAGTAAATATTTCTGTCAGAAGGACAACTTCAATGAAGCACATAAGTCTTTGTCAATACTTCTATTATATAAGTTCCCATTAAAGATCTTGTTTTACACTGTCATATAGATCATTATTCTTAGAATCACCTTTGGAAATTCAGAAAAATTAAATACTCCACCCATATACATCTAAAGCACACCATTCCTTTAATAAATGTAAAGTAAAACCTACCTTTTTTCTCAGTTTTCCTCTGATATGACATAATCTCTTTACACCATCAAAGCACATTGCTTCTAATCGTCCATTTCCCAACATTTTGATTACCTGAGCATACTCTGAGGGCAGAAAAAAGTATGAGGTATTGTTCAATTTTTCTTAAGATGTTAACAACTGAAATTAGCACATAGTTGTTAATTTCATTTTTACTGTTGAGTTTAGGTATATATTTCTTAAGGAAAGGATTGATAAGCAAAAGGCTTAAGTATTTTACCCTACAGGAGAGCTCTTTAAGGGTGACATTCTAATTTTATCCAAGAAAATCAGAGAACTACACCAATAAGACGATTCCTATGGCCTCTTCCTACTATGCTCATTTACTTCCTCCTTTTCTTTTTAAAGTAAATAAAAGCCTGTAGAAATCAGTAATTTGTCACAAATGGCCTATTCATGACATTTTTTCAGTTCTTAGGAATATTTTAATGACCCACTTATTTTGAGTAAATCAGTCTGCTCCTGTCTTCATGATTGTACGCTCTACCTTTATACAACAAAGTGACTCATTCCAAAATATACAGGAGAACACTGGCTTATTAATCTCTCTCCTTTAGATACTAGCCCAATCTTGGCTCTCTTTTCCCTCAAAAACTTCAGTGACAAAAACAATAGGTTAATTATTAATATACTTTTGTTTACTTCAGAATAACTTTGGCAGTTCAGGTTCTTTAAAAAAAAGTTCATGATAAAATGCTAAGTGTTTAATTAAAGTATTTCCAAGTGTTCCCAAGAGGCCAGCCTCGTTTCACTCCCCGTAAAGAAGACAATACAATATGTGAGAATTAGATGGCATGGGGCAGTTTCTTTCTAGGTATAACTGGCAGAAGCAGGAGTGGGAATGAGAAAGGGAAACAGGTAATTACTGTAACATTTTCACACTACTAAAACTTGTTAGAACTAATCCCAAAGAAACTCTGGATAAATTCATCGTTACACTGAGAGATAAACTGTATATACATTGTGAGATTAGTACATGTCAGGAATCCCTTTTACCACAGGCAATGACTTGGCTTATTACTCAGCACTCTTTCAACAAGTGGGGGGAAAAAGAAAGAAAAAGTCAGCCCTGAAAACAAACTTTTAATGGAAGTGAGAAAGATGAAAGCTAAGTAACTGACTGTCTTTCACCAGAAAACATGTTTTATATAACTAACAAAAAATGTGGGGTCCTTCAAGCTCTATATGTATGGCATGAATAATCACACACTTTTATTATAAAGTGCTGGAAGATATCTGATGTAGACTGTACCACAGGTCAGCACTACCCGGGAGAACTTTCTCTGCAGATTATACATCTATATTAAATTATACGATAATCAATAGGTCAAATATTATTTTTAACTCACTTAAACAGCTACATGTGAGTACCAGCCATCTGGTACAAAGAACAGTACTAAAAAACAGTGTAATTTGAATGTGGAAAGTTTTACAGTAGTTCTGCTACTATTATAAGAAAAAGTCCTTCTTAGGAGATAATATGCTCAAGTATGTCAAATTGAAATCTGTTACCTACATGTAACCAGACATCTATAACTTTAAAAAAATTTAAAAATGTATACACAGGAGAAGAGAAGGAAATATTATATGTTAAAAATCATGCAGATTGAGCACGGGCCCGTGAACTAAAATATCACGGTTTGATTCCCCGCCAGGGCACATGCCTGGGTTGCAGGCCAGTTCCCAGCAGGGGCCAGTTCCCAGCAGGGGATGCACCAGAAGCAACCATACATTGATATTTCTCTCCTTCTCTCCTTCCCTTCCCTTCTAAAAAAAGATAAATAAATAAAATTTAAAAAAAAATTATGCAATCTGGGTAAAATATAAAGGCTTGTGTACTCATATACCAACTTTTCTACAAGTTTAACATTATTTTTTAACAAGGAAAAACCAAGTGCTCCAGTCAGTTTATTATCCTTGTTTTTGTCTCTTTGAATACACATACTTAATTCAGTATTAAGTTATTCGGTTACTTTACTACATTGCACACTAGTGGCACCAGAGAACTGAAGAATAAAAGTCCTTGCAAACATCCATGAACTACTATACAACATTATAGCATGAAATTTTTAATGATAACTTTCCAGGCTAAATTGGCTCAACTCTAAAATTCACTGTCATTTACACCATGCTCTTACACATACATCAATGAAATGTATAATTACAAAAATGCCACCAATTAATCTTCTAGTATCCAGTTGATTATTTAATAGACAAATTGTGGGTAAGGGTAAAGGATTACAAATGAGGAAAAGCAAAAGAGACACTGAAAGAACTACCTAGGATTTATAACTATCATCTCTTTCAGGTTAAAGATTAAAATTCATTTTAAAAGTTTATATATAGTGAATAACTGTAAAGTTATTAACTGTAAGTAACTGTAAATGTTAATAACTATAAAGTTATTAATATTAAATAACTTTAATGTTAATAACTCTAAAAACTCTTACCTTGTCCATCCTCTTTAAAGACCAGTTCTCTTTTTTCAGATTCATTCTCATTCTTACCTCTACGCCTATTTTTACCTCCTTTACCTGATTAAAAACGCAAATTAAAAAATCAAATTGAATAAGCTATATTTCAAATACTAAACTATGAAACATACTAGAATAAGACCCATAAACTTTATAAAGTCACTTAAAAATAAAGATATCATTTAAATAGCACTATAACATTAAAAGAGAATTCTAAATGAGATTTTAAACATTTACCTCATTTGGTTACTTGATTCAGTTACACTTTTAATGCCCTAAGAGTTTCCTTTTAGTCCTTTATCAGACCAAGATATATCAATCCATATCTTTCCTGACATTGCATTTGGATTTTTCTGACATAACAGTATGTCATATAAAAGCATGCAGAATAAAATTCCACCACCAGAGATTACTACCATCATTTTATAGTCTATGCTTTCCAAACACAAATAGAACTCTTTATAATCTCACCAATTTGTCCTAAATGTCTTTTAATGTCAATAACTCCACACTGAAATAGTTTAAAGTTTAGAGTGTACTTAATCCCTTACTCTATTTGTTTCATTGTTGTTAAATAATGTTGAATTGAATTTCACAAAGAAATTTCCAGATAATAAATTTACATACAATTTATGAATTAAATGTTATACACCTACTTCCTTAGGCTTTTAATGAGCCACACTAATTTATATCCCCATCAGCAAAGGAGGAATATTAACTACTCCTCTGCCATAACCATACCAAGCTAAAGATATAAAATAATACTTAACTGGATTTTTCAATGTTTCATTTTATAAAGTTTAACATATGAGAGTGGCATTAATTTTTTTTCATTCTGAGACGTTCTACTGAATATCAAGAAATGAGGTATTTCTCCATAGTATCTTATTTCTATTTCAGGAGCTAAACTGTCATTTCTAATAGGTGAAAGGGAAGCTATGAGTGGTAGTAATAGGGAACTTTGTGAAGAATATGAAGGCAGAAATCTATCTTCTGGAATGCACCTTCTGGGACAGTTCCTCCTGGAGCAGACTCACATTATTCTGTTGTTATTTGACAAGGGAAGTGAGCCTTCTCAACTTCTTTAGGTACATCAAAATTGATTTCCTAAAAGGAAAATGTGTTCTATATCTCAAGCCACTAATCATGCCAGTTTCAGTAGGATAAGATTCATTACCTGCTTTGGTTTCTGAATTATATATTAACAAAGTTTGGCATTTTTCTCAAATGAATAAACCAAAAAGAGTTCATTCATTTGTAAATGGGTAGCAATTTAAAAATCATATATATAGTAGTACCATTAAAGTGTAGTAGTATTTTACCCCAAACGCTCTTCATGAATGAGCTAGAGAAGATGCTCTTTTTCCTGAATGGAAGAAGGGTGTCTAAAACTTCTAAAGGTAACAAGATGAATGAGAATGAGCCCATACCAGTCAGTATTCAATATGTGGCATAATGTAATTTATATCCTTACTTGGGTACCTGTCACTAATACAATGATCATGAGGCTTTCATATTTTCTTTCTTTTTCTCTGACTTTTTAATTGATTTTTAGAGTTAAGCAAGGAAAGGGAGGGAGGGACTGAGTAAGAGGAGGAGGAGAGGAAAGACACAAGGAGGCCGGGAGAGAGAGAAACAGATATTGATTTGTTTTTCCACTTCATTATGCATTCACTGGTTGCTTCTTATATGTGCACCCCTAGCCAGGGATCTAAGCTGTAATTTTCGGCCTTTGGGAATGACGCTCTAAGCAACTAAGCTACCAGCCAGGGCTAAAATTAAAAAAAAAACAAGAAACAAAAAACATTGCTGTTTTTTGTTTATATTAGTAAACCTCATTTTATGAAACTTAGGACTTCTAAAAAGAACCCTTTCCACAGTAGCATCATTTACAATAGGCAAATTGTAAATGTAGAAATAGCCTAAGTGTCCATCAGTAAATGAGTGAATCAAAAAAGTAGGATACATTTACATGATGGAATACTATGTATCAGAAGAAAGAATGAGTTCCTACCCTTTGCAACAGCATGGATGGAACTAGAGAGCATTATGCCAAGTAAAATAAACCAGAAGGAGAAAGACAAATACCATATGATTTTCCATACAAGTAAAAACTAATCAACAAAATAAACAATCAAGCCAAATATAACCAGAGACAATGAAATAAAGAACAAACTGACAGTCACTGTCAGTGGAGAGGAAGGGACCAGCAAAGGATCACAAATAGAGGAGTCATGAACATGGACAATGGGGGGCGGGGAACTGACTGGGAGTGAATGGGAATTGGGGTAAGGGATAGCAATGAGGAAAAAGGTGGGACAACTGTAATTGAACAACAATGAAAACAATTTTTTAATTGTATCTGGAGAACAAAAAGAACTCTTTGAAATAAGTAACCTAGGAAAAAACAGGCTAGTATTACATACAACTGAAAACATAAAATTCAAGGTAATTATCTCCAGAAAAAGAGGAAGAGAGATTTGAGAGAGGTACACAGGAGGCTTTCAATAAATCTGTTTGTTGAAATTTTTAAGTTCAGAAAAGTAATTTCTTCTCAAATTTATTACTGTATTTATACTTTTTGGTGTGCCTCAAATGTAAAAATAATTTGTTTTCAATTCACTTGAATTAGCCATAGTGTAACCAAGCCATTATTGTCATATAACAGAACCCACTTTAAAATCTCTTTTGAAAAAATAAGGTTGGAACTGATATATTTCAATATTTTACCTCGCCCTTGTTTCTAAAAGTGAAGTAAACCAAAATTATAATCTTTCTTAAACAAGTCAGGAGGTATTTTCTGATGGGATCTTTCTTAGGAATTTAGTTTCAAAGTCCTACAGAAATAAGAGATAATTTTATTTATGTAAAGATGTAGTGTGCACAGGAAGATAACATGAACAAACTTGATTCAACACCTATTAAGTGTCAAGTTGCAGTAGTACAATGTCCACAAAACAGGACCACTGCTTTTAGAGTACACAGTTAAATAAGCTGCATATTTGAAAATCTCATCACTACAAATAAGGGTGAGAATAACATACTTTTTAAATTGATCTATTTATCATCTATTAGTCTATCATGAATTACACATGTTAGAAAGCTAAAAACTTTCATAACATATACTAAGAAAGACACTGTCAGTCTCTCCCAGAGTAATTAGCGGAGTAAAATCGGTAACACAAAAAGAATCTAGGCAATTGTTTTTGAGGACCCAGACAGCACTGCCCCAATAGGAGAGGAATGGAATACACAGCAACAGCTACAAAAGGAAACAAAGTATAATCCTGGGCCATGGCTGTGTAGTTCAGTGGATTGAGTGCAGGCCTGCAAACCAAACAACCGTGGTCAGGGCACCTTCCTGGGTTGCAGCCAGTTCCCAGCAGGGGACCCAGAAGAGGTAATCATACATTGATATTTCTCTCCCACCCTCCTTCTCTTCCCCTGTAATGATAAATAAATAAATCTTTAAAAGAAAAAAAAGTATAATACTAGGAGCCACATATTAAATAGAAGAATATATAGGTAGGTCTGTGTCCAAAAAATGAATTATCAAAGAGTTACTGTGGGCTGTGAAATGGTCCTATTCTGTAATTTTTAAAAAGTTCCTGTTTGTAGCTATCTTTTTTGTTGGAAGACATTTTAAGGGCGGTTACAATGTCAGAACATGTGTTGTCTATAAAAATTAGTGTTTTTTTTTGTATACGTGATTGGGCAAGTTTCATGCTTTACATAGGCTAGGCATTCAATTTAAATTCCAAGTAAATGTGTTCACAATTATACTTTGCGAACGGTTTGCCTTAGAATAAAGGCAGGTATAAATGACAACGATACAGCTGGAAAAGAAAGCTGAAAACTTCTAAATATGTAACACGTCTTTTTGAAAATAGTTAAGTTCTGTGAAAGGGTGGCAGAAACTAAAACGCCACAGATTTACATATGCAAGACGAAATCTCGTACTGTTAGCAAAGGAGAGAGAATATCGTCAACAATTATTAATCGCCCGTAAGTAAAAGAATAAAGTAGGTGTTATCCTTGAGAGCTAAGAATTGATTCAGGTCAACCTGCGGAAGGACCAAAGGACCTGGTTCCCCATTAGTCACTATCGCACCGCAGGAGGCCCTATAAAAATGGCGTCGGCTTTTGTGATCAAGGGGAATGTAGGATCCTCCTTTCCCAAGACCAAAACGACTGGATCGCCCAGCAACGGCCACGATCTCCTTTCGGCGATCAGGAGGGAAGATAGGTAAACTCTGTTTGTTCTCCAATCAGGATGGATGGCACTGGGTTGAAAAAAACGGTCGTTACACTGAATTACCTTTATTCTTAGGCATGACGACGCCGACTGTTTCGGGGCGTTTCTGGCTCTTATCCCGTTCTTTATACTGAACAACGACTCCTGCTAGGAGCTCGGCAGGCCAAACGGTTGATGTTGTGTTCTAAGTAGATGCGTATTCCACCACGCTTCTTCTTAAGCAAATGGCGTCGCGGCTGCTGCTGTCGCAGCCGTAGGCGTACGTAGTTCCTTTGTGCTCCCACCCGGAACTGCCCCCAGTTCTGACATCCTTTCCGTCCCTATCTTCTGGCGTGTACTACGCTTGCGTACCAGATGACTGACACCTGTTAGAGCAAGAGGAACTCCAACAAGGAAATGAGGTGGAGAGCGTTAAGACAAAGTACTAGACAGGAGGGGAACTACTGAAAAAATAAAAGAGAGAGTGCAGTAGCCTATGTGTAACTTTCAGGGCCTACTTACGCACGAATTCATATCGTAGATGCTGCCTACACTTTCTCTAGATTTTTGAAGGGGAAATAAGGGTACACATTAAACACGGATAGTACTAATTGTATAGCTACATAAATGTTTTGTGTTTTTTTTTTTTTACTTTTTTATTTTTAGAGGGGAAGGGAAGGAGACAAGGAGAGAAACATCAATGTGTGCTTGTCTCTCATCAGTCCCCTGCTGGGAACAGGACTGCAACCCAGGCATATGCCCTGACTGGGAATCCAACCATGATCCTGTGGTTTGCATGCAAGCACTCAATCCACTGAGCTACACCAACCAGGTACATGAACGTTTTTAATTCTTTTATTTATACTTATGTGTTAAAAGTACAACTCTACAAATACTAATGTTATCCATATGCAAAATAATACCCTATGCAAAATAGTATTCTAAGGTATTTAGAATAAGGTACTTTTTCTAAATATTAATAAATGCATAATTGAAGTGAAAAATTAAAATGTCATGGCTGGTGTAGCTTGGTAGATTGAGCACACACTTCAAAACAAAGGGTTGCCACTTTGTATCCCAATCACGTCACCTGCCTCAGTTATAGGCCAGATCCCCAGTATGAGGCCCATGAGAACAAGCAACTGAACACTGATATCTCTCTCCTTCTCTTCCCCCTCTCTAAAAATGAATAGACAAAATCTTCAAAAAATAAAAATGAAAATGAAAGATTTTTTTCCCTGAAAGTCTGGGCCAAAAACGTGGGTACACATTATACACAGGACCACATTTTACATGGCAAATATGATAACACCACTGGTGATTGAATCCAGTGGTATTCTCTACTTTGTAACAGTCCTGTGTTACAGTTTATAAGTTACTGATTCATTACCTCTAATGTTTTACCTAAATTTTACTCAGCCTTTTGCATGCTCAGCTACCTTCACTTGCTGGAAAAGAACAAGATGCCCTATGTGTGAAACGGATGTTACTACTTTTCTTCTTTACTTTCATTTTCTTTTTATTTTTTTATTTGAATTTTTAATACAGTTTTTTGTCTTTTACTCCCATCCAAGCCCACCCACCCAGCACTTCTTGCTCCCTGCCATTTCCGCCCCCCCCCCAGTTTTTATCCATGTATCCTTTATACTTCTTCCTGTAAACCCTTCCCTTTTTCCCCTGAAACTCCCTCCCCTCTTCTCTAGTCCCTGTCAGCCTGTTCTGTATTTCAGTGTCTTTGGTTATATTTTGCTTGCTTGTTTGTTTTGTTGTTTAGGATCCTGTTAAATGAGAGATCATACTGTATTTGTGTTTCAACACCTGGCTTATTTCACTCAGTATAATACTTTCCAGTTCCATCCATGCTGTGGCAAAAAAATAGGAGCTCCATCTTTCTCTCTGCTGCATAGAATTCCATTGCATGAATGTGCCATAGTTTTTGGATCCATTTATTTAGTGATGGGCACCTAGGTTGCTTCCAGCAACTGGCTATTGTAAATTGTGCTGCTATGATCACTGGGGTACATAGGTTCTTTTGAATTGGTGTTTCATTGTTCTTAGGATATAATCCTACCAGTGGAATTGCTGGGTCAAAAGAAGGATCTATTTTTATTTTTCTGAGAAAATTCCATACTGTTTTCCATAGTGGTTGTACCAGTCTGCAATCCCACCAACAGTGCACTAGGGTCCCCCTTTCTTCACAATCTCTCCAACATTTGTTGTTTGTTGCTTTGTTTATGATGGTCATTCTGACTGGTGTGCACTGATATCTCATTGTAGTTTTAATTTGCATTTCTGATAGCTAGCGATATTGAGCATCTCTTCATGTGTCTCTGGATCCTCTATAAGTCCCCTTTGGAAAAGTCTCTGTTCAGGTCCTTTTCCCATTTTCTTAATTGGGTTGCTTGTCTTCTTAGAGTGGAGTCGTGTAAGTTCTTTATATATTTTGGAGATTTAAACCCTTGTCTGAGGTATAATTAGCAAATATGTTTTTCCATACAGTTGGTTGTCTTGCTAATTTAATACTGTTTCCTTTAGCCACATAGAAGCTTTTAATTTTGATGATATCCCATTTGTTTATTCTTTCCTTTATGTCCCTTGCTCTAGGGAACATATCTGTAAAAATATTGCTGTGTGAAATACCTGAGATTTTCCTGCTTATGTTCTCCTCTGCAACTTTAATGGTGTCATGGCTTATATTTAAGTCTTTTACCCACCTTGAATTTATGCTTGTGGATGGTGTAAATGGGTTTCATTCTATTACATGTAGCTGTCCAGTTCTCCCAACACTATTTGTTGAAGAGGCTATTTTTACTCTATGTTTTGTTGCTGCCCCCTTTGTCAAATATTAATTGACTGTAGAGACTTGGGTTTATTTCTGGGCTCTCTGTTCTGTTCCATTGGTCTATGTGCCTGTTTTTATGCCAGTACCAGGCTGTTTTGATTACAGTGGCCTTGTAATACAGTTTGGTATTGTGATATCTCCTACTTTTCTCTTCTTTCTCAAAATTGCAGCTGCTATTTGGGGTCATTTATGGTTCCATATAAATTTTTTAAGTGTTTCTTGTTCTAGGTATGTGAAATATGCCATTGGTACTTTACTACATATTGCATTGAATCTGTAAATTACTTTGGGTAGTATGGACATTTTGATAATATTAAGTCTTCTGATCCACAAACAGTATATGTTTCCATTTGTTTGTATCTTCCTTGATCTCTTTCTTCAGTGTTAAGTACTTTTATGAGGACAGTTCTTTTACCTCCTTAGTTAGATTTATTCCTAAGTATTTTATTTTTCTTTTTGCTATATTGAATAATATTTTTCTTGATTTCTGCTTCTGTTGTTTCATTGTTGATATACAAAAAATGCCTTTGGTTTCTGGATACGGACTTTGTATCCTGCTGTTTTGCCAAATTCATTTCTTAGTTTGAGCAGTGGGTTTCCTATGTACACTATCATGTCATCTGCAAACCATGGATGCCTTTTATTTCCATTTCTTGTCTGATCAAGAAAAGGAAATTGGCTAAAACTTTCAATAGTATGTTGAATACAAATGGTGAAAATGGACAACCTTGTCTTGTTCCTGATCTTAGTGGAAAAGATTTCAGTTTTTTCCCATTGAGTATGATGTTGGCTATAGGTCTCTCATATATAGCCTTTAGTATGCTGAGGAATGCTCCCTCTATTCCCACTTTGGTGAGTGTTTTTATTATAAATGGGTGCTATATCTTCTCAGATGCTTATTCCCTATCTATTGATATGAGCATGTGGTTTTTGTCTTTGCTTTTGTTTATATGATGTATTACATTTACTGATTTGCAAATTGTAACTTCCCTGCATCCCTGGCATGAATCCCACTTGGTCATGGTGTATGATCTCTTTAATGTATTGTTGGATGTAGCTTACCACTATTTTGTCAAGGATTTTAGTGTCTATTGGCCTGAAGTTTTCTTTCTTTGTTGTGTCTTTATCTGTTTTTGGATTAGGATGATGTTGGCTTGTAACATCATCCTATCCAAACGAAATGAGTTCCAGTTGTTGTATTCAGTTCAAAAGTTATATTCTTCTATGTCGTTTTTCATGTTGATATAATTTTCAAGATATAACCTCTTTTTTACTGTAAAAAGAATTTAGGAGTTTTCCATCATTTTGAATTTTTTTGAATAATTCAAAAAATATGAGGGATAGTGATTACGTCTTCTTTAAATATTTTGTAGAATTCTCCTGCTAAACCATCTGGTCCACGGCTTTTGTGTATTGGGAGTTTTTTGATTTCTTCTGCTGTTACTGGTCTGTTTTGGCTTTCTGCTTCTTCTTCATTGAGTTTTGGAAGATTATATTTTTCTAGAAATTTGTCCATTTCACCTAGGCTTTCAAATTTCTTGGCATACAATTTTTCACAAATTTTTTATAATCTTTTGTATTTCTGTGGTGTCAGTTGTAATCTCTCCTCTTTCATTTCTGATTGTGTTTATTTGTGTCCTCTCTCTTTTTTTCTATATGAGCCTGCTTAACAGCTTGTTGATTTTGTTTATTTTTTCAACGAATAAGCACCTGGATTCATTGATCTTTAGAATTGTGCTTTCGATTTCTATGTCATTTAATTCTGCTCTGATCTTGGTGATTTCTTTCCTTCTACTTGCTCTGGGTTGTGTTTGTTGTTGCACCTTGAGATCTTCTAGGAATAAGGTTAGGTTGTTTGTTTGAAATGTTTTTATTTTTTTCAGGTAGGCCTGTATTGCTATGAACTTCCCCCTCAGGACTGCCTTCACTGTGTCACATAAGTTTTGGATTGTTGCGAGTTTATTTTCATTTGCTTTCAGAATCTTTTGATTTCTTCTTTGATCTCATTCTTGACCCATTCGTTGTTTAAGAGCATGCTAATCAGTCTCCATGAGTTTGAGCGTTTGGGGTTTCTTTCCTTCAGGTTGGTTTCTAGTTGCAGTCTCTTGGGGTCAGAGAAAATGCTTGAAATGACTTCAGTATTCTTGAATTTGTTGAGGCTTGTCTTATCACGTGGTCTATTTTTGTGTCCTATCATGTGTCCTATCACGTGGTCCATTGTTGAAATGTTCCCTATGCATTTGAAAAGAATGTGTATTTAGCTTCTTTGGGATGAAGGGATATATATCTATATATCTATATATCTATATATATATATCTGATATATATATATAACTGATATATATATATAACTGATATATCAGTTAAGTCCATTTCATCTAGGGCTTTGTTCAATGCCGCATTATCTTTGCTGATATTTTGTCTGGAAGATCTGTCCATTTTTTTTTTGAAGTGGGGTGTTAAAATCCCCTACTGTAATTGTG